GAAACATTGCCCTCTTTTATCCACTGCTAATTAGTAAGTCAATATCAAATGATAAAACTGGATATCTTAGTCTTTTTATAGGGATGCACTTACAGCACATTTTTTTCTTGCCGAAAAACCATTTGATATCGGTTGCGTTCTTTCTTTTCGACATGGTCGACGGACACCTATTTTTCACCTACTTTAGCATCTTAACTTTTTTTTAAAATCAATGAATCCGGTAGTTCACGGAAAGCTAGGCTGTCGGAGCGTGGAGTTGACTAGAGAGTAGAGCCTGATAGAAAGATGAGTATTTTTCTCTGAAAATCTTATTTGACAGTCACAAATAATATAACAAGGATATATATAATGCAATACAATAATAATAATAATAATATTAATAATAATACAAGATCATTTTTGCTAGGCTAGCTATATGGATGTAAAGATTCCACCTTGCTTACAGGCAAATGGGGGGCTTCAGTGCCGTTGGAAAAACAAAACAAAACAGGATTTTTAATAACTGTCAATACACTACTGTGCATATTGGAGTGAAACATTAAAAACTGATGAATACTTAAATATGCTAGCCTATTTAATGATTGTCCCCAGCAATTTTTAAACCCCACTCAAGTGTATGGTTATAGTCCCCAGCTGTTCTAAAAACAAAATGACGCCCTTGGCCAAACGCCCTGCACAGTGTTGGTTGGGCTGTAAGCAGTGTTGGGCAAGTTACTTCAAAACTGTAATGCATTATTTATTACTTGTTACCCTCATTTTAAAGTAATTCATTACATTACAATATTACTGATTTTAAAATGTAAGGCATTACACCAGGGACGAAATTTTGATTTCAGAAGTGGGGGGGACACAGCAGGCTTGTGCGGATTTGGGGTGGGGGGTGTTATGTAAAGACCCCTTGACACGTCACGTGCCCATCTCAATAATTTTTCCATCCTTATTGAAGTGCAGTTTTGGCTGTTGACAATGGATAGGCCATCGTATTTATTGTTTTGGGTCTTTTTTTTATTGTTTTTGGTGCAACATTTTCTAACAGGGAGTGAGATTCCTTTTTTATTTAATTTTTGTTTGTTATTTTTATTCATTTAGAAGTTCTGGTTCTGGACATTTCAATGTTAAATGAAGGTTTCTTTGTTGCATTTTAAAGGGTGTACTTGCATTATTATGATATATTAACATTATATTAGTGGTTATTTTGGTCTAGATAATGTTGACAATATCGTTTATCATCAACAATTTGTTGGACAAAATATCGTCCAGCAAAATGTGTTACTTTCTCAGGCCTAGTCAAAAGTATAAAAATTATTTATACATAAACGTTCCTCCTGAGATCTGGCCGTTTGTTCATTTGCTGTGTTAGAGGACATGCTGAACTAATGTTTTACACATGATCATCACCCTAACATTTGAGTGTATAAAAACATATTAAATATGTTTTTCCCCTTAAAAGTGTTTAAACAGTTGTTGCATTTCAACACACAAAAAAAAATGGAAAAAATAAGATAAATCTAATGAAAAGTGTACATCTTTGACATTAAGCTTAAAAAAATCTGTTGACGATGATGATACTGTTCATTTTTCAGAGCTTTTTAATGTGAAAATATGCATTGCAATAGAAAAGTTTACAATAAAGTTAAATGATAAAAGTTTTGAAGTTACACTTCTACTACTACTACTACTAGTAATAATAATTATGATGATAATAGTAATAATAAAAAAATAATAATTATAATAATACGAATAAATTGTGTCTGAGGAGTCAGTTATGTGGAGGAGATGAGTTTGTAAAAGTTAGTTTTGAGTATGTGTGTGAAGGAGGAGGTGAGTCTGAGCTTAATGCAGGTCTGTCACATGTTCCAACTTACGTTTAGACTTTGAAAGAAGTCTCTTATATCCACTTTTCGTTTTCTTGACATGCTGCCTCCTGGCTGTGCCTAACTACCAAAGACTCACAAATGAACACTTATTCAAATGTTATGTAATGGAAGCTGAGCTGAGCTCTGATATTACACAGCGTCTAGTTGACGATGTGACTCAGTACCGGTGTTCTCTAGCGGCTCCAAACTAGCAAAACAACGTGAGCACGTTCTGACTGTTTACAACTTGAGTGACAGCAGCAACAGCCAATAATACGTTAGCAAGTATCAGCAGAGCCAATAGATTAGCTTTTGGGCGGGTCTAATAGTAAACTGGTTTCCATTTCGGTCCTAGTGCTCAACCAAATCCATTTAATGGAGCGTAACATTGTTTTTGGACGGAAAAAAGTGCAGGGGACCAAAACTGCCTTTTGAAAAAGTGGGGGGGACATGTCCCACCCGTCCCCCCCCCAAAATTACGTCCCAGCATTACACTACTTTTGCATTACTTTAAGTTACTTTCACCAAAACAACTTCAATATGAATCTGGTAATCTGACGCTCAGTGAGCTCATGACATATATGTGGAAAGTGATGTGGTGTCTGAGCTAGGAATGCTGTTAAAAACAGTCAGATATAATAACAGTGCTTTAAAATTATTGTTTATTAAATAAAAGCAACAACAATCTGTACTCTCAGCATGGTGCCATCTTATATTAACTGAGCAGGGAGTGAGGTGGTGGGGGCTCCAAGCCTATATTTGCCTTGGTCCCCAAATGCCTTGATACGGCCCTGGATGTGAGACTGACTTCTGGGGTGATCTGATTCTATCACATGTATAAATATTAAATGCTGATATATTATTGCTTTTCACTGGTAAAAATGAGTATTGGGGATAAATCTACCTACTTTTTTTTCTTTTCAAGCACTTTGTTTTGTTTTCTTGAATTTATTTGAACAATTTTCTGCCCTTTCTCTCTCTAACCTTCCTGCATGCTACATTTTTCTCCGTCTTCCAGAAAAACTGTTTCCTAGATTTCCTTCTTTCTAACTAATCAGCCAAAGGGATCTACCGAACGCAAAAAAAAGCTTAATATGCGCTGCACTCCAGCAGCAATGAGTTGAAATCTCTGGTCGAGGGCACAGATTATGAACTCAGCTGAGGCAAAGCACGTCAGAAAAGTACAGAAAGTACAGAGAATATGGGCGGATATAAACGATCGCAAGTAAATTACTTTGTTTTGGTGGAGCGAATTTGTGAATATAACAGCGGCCGCACGCAGGACGCAGCTGGAGTATTTGAGCCATTACCGCTGCGTCCTCACTGCTCATTGAATGCCCGCAAAGCTGAGTCCATAAATGACGTCAGATATGTGGATACCGGATCTTTATTTTGGGCTTTCCACAATTTGAATTTTTAGGAAACCCACATCTTGATTCTGGGTTTAAAAATGCATTGTAATTACCGCGTTATTGACAATTGTACCGAGAAAATATTACCACTTTCTTTCCCTGTAATGCCTTACATTACCACATTACAGCAAAAAGCAATGCATTACAGTAATTAATTACTTTTGTACTGCGTTACTCCCAACACTGGCTGTAAGCACATCCCCTACCTGTGGACGTCGGGCCCTCATACCACCCTCGTGAAGTCTGTTTCTGACCGTCTGAGCATACACATGCACATTTATGACCCACTGGAGGTCACAGGGAACTCTGGCAGTGCTCTTCCTGTTCCTCCTTGCACAAAGGCAGAGGTAGCAGTCCAGCTGTTGGGTTGTTGTCCTCCTATGACTTCCTGCAAAGAGTGCGGGATGGCCAACGGTGCTGTGAAATGACTACTTTTCACTATCTCACTGCTAGTGTTGCTCTGACGTACTGTAAATGTTTGTTAGCCTCCTGGGGTCCCCTTATGGCCTGGAGGACCCAAGCAACAACCTGCCCTGCCTGTTGACATGAAGCACCTTTGGATTGATCTAGTATCACCTGAACTTGGTAGATGTGAAATATCAGATGTCACAGTGCAGTTCTCAGTTTTTTGTGTAAGAGCTCTCCTGATCGAGTGGCCTGAAGTCCGAACCAAGCGCTAAATCTGTCTTTGATTTTTCTCCCATTTTTCCTAGTACACAATGATTTTATAATAAAGAAAACAATGAAGCTATGGCAGGTTAATATTCTGTGTGTGGTGACACAGCACAACCTTTTCTCCTGCTGTGTACTTTGCTGCTTCTGAGTATGCACTGCAGCTCTGAGATTTTCAGTGAAAGTATGCTACATCAAGACATTCATCTGCCCTCCTGTTCGCACTGTAGGGACCGTTTTTGAACATCAAAATTACATTTTGGTCATTTCAAAGTGTGTCTATGTAAAAGTTTTAAATATTTATCATCTCACAAGAGTAGATAGCTTCCTGAATGTCGCCTGATTATTATATAGTTTTGTTTACCTAAGTAAATATCACCAGCAACAGCATATAGCACTTCCAGTTCACCCTGGGGTCGTACCCCGCATAATTTGTTGAGCATTTCTGCAAAAAATAAGTTTCATGCATATAATTCTGCTTTGAACAGCCACTAACACCCATGAAAGTTTAACTTTTGACTGTAAATCATCCCTGAGTGTGAGTGAAAAAATAATTGTTCTTCATTTTATTTATTTATTTTTTTGTCTTCATATGGCCCTATGCACTGACAACCTGTCCTGGGTGTTTCATGTCTCATGCCTAGTGACAGCTAGAATAATAAAAGAGCTGAGAAGATGAATATATTTAAAAAAAATAATGACTGGATGAATTATTTGCATCTCACAAATGTATCCAGAGTTGCACTATGCGGCACAGAAATGCTCAACAACAAGCACCCTATGGTATCAACTTGTAATGTTAATTTACTTTAAAAACATCTGCTGCATGGGACTTTTGAGCAGTCAGACATTTCAGCTTCTTTTTTAGGTCTGTGAACGCCTCTTTTGTTGTCAGAGAATACTGTGCAGTACTGTGGCCTGTGCTTGGAGAATTCAGAGCTGCATTGAACGCCTCAAGAAATTTTTCTGGTTTGGATTCAGACACATGCGCGTAACCGATTCATTGGTCGTTCACGCGCAGTGAGAAGGCGTGGATTAAAGGTGGGAAAGGGTGAGGAGGGAACGGAAGGGGGCGTGCAGAAAAAAGACAGGGCCGCACACACACGTCACTGAGGGAAACAGAACATACTGGGCAATGTTTTATTCCCACATTTATTTATTTACCCCTGTTCCTGTTTGCGACCGCGAAGCCATCGCAGTTTGAAGTGCAACTTCCTCTCAGTCATCGATTAGAGGTGTCGCTCGTCAGTCCCGCACCACCCGCACTGCCGCACAGACACTGAACTTCCCGTTAAGACGCAGCGGAACAGGCGAAAACTGCTGCTGACAGAAAAAGGGGAACGACATCAGGGCTTGTCAAGAAGAGAGGACAGAGTCGTGTCTACAAGGCGTCTGGACAGAGAAAGGGTGCCATTGTCCTCTCGCTGAGGGCGAGCAGAGACGGTTCTGGTGCTCTGCTAATTAGCCTGCGTTGGTCCCTGCTGGGAAAGACGGCGAGCAGGCTGCCTGCCCAGGGTTCTAGTTCGAGTGTGCCTGTTTTCATCCAGCATCTGGACATTTATCCTTTTAGCTACTGATGGGTTTCTTTAGAGAATAGCAATCTCCCTTCCCCACATCTACCCCCTGCCAGACCCTGGCTTTGAACCGACTCTCGGGCGCTGTCCTCGCTGGGGGGTACGGGATAACCATCGCCCGGTCTCGCTAGCTCCAGGTGGGGGTCCGGTTTCCCTAACCCTTGCCCTGTCTGCCTGCCGCTCTGGCCGACCTAGCAAACTCGGAACATGGCAGGGAACCTGAAGAAAGGCGGGGGTCTAATCGGAATGATGAAGGATGCCTTCCAGCCACACCATCACCACCTCCACTCCCATTACCAGCCCGGGGCCGTGGACAAGAAGACGGTGGAGAAATGCTGGAAACTAATGGACAAGGTTTGTCATGATCAACAGTATCCAAACTTTAGCATTTGGGTGTCCAGTGCGACTCGTGGCTAACTGTAGCTAACTAGCAACGAGCTAGCTAATCTCCCCTAACTGAAGGTCTGTTGTTGCTAATGTAGGGTTAGCTAGTCACCTGGGATAGGACGTGTTTAGCTAATTCTGAAACCCAAACTCCCTCTCGGGTTGTGATATCTTTGCCAGGCTCTAGAAACGAAATGTTTTGAAACCAACGTAACTTTTACTTTGGCCAATCTCAATAAAAATCCACACGTTCTTAAATCTGTTTGCAAGTGAAGTTTAACACTGAGCTAATCAGACGGCCACTGAAGCAAGTTTCCGATTCGGCACATGAGTCAAAAGCTTTTTCGCTTATTTTTTAGATTAAGTTTGTATTCTGTAATACCTTATCTTGTCATTTTGGACTGGGGTTTCTTGAGTATTGAAGAAGTTCAAATTTGACCTGTTCAAGTATTGATGTTTGGGATTTGGGAATGATCTAAGGTCATCCAGATGCTTAAAAGTAGAAAAACTGCCTATTTTTCATTGTTTTACAAGCTGAGCAAATATTTCTCATAACACTTTCTGAGTTTAATGAATGTTTTTCATGTAGAACACTAGTACATGAATGATGTTTTTAAGAATTTTAAATTGTTCGACCTGGAACTGTTAGATGCAGTGAAATGACCCTTCTATTTATGTCTAATCAGAAATAGTCAGATACTAACTTCAGTGTTGTATCTGTCATTTCTTAACATTAAAAGTGGGTTATAATTAATTTTAGTGTTAATTTCCTCTAATGTTGGATGTTATGACACGAATTGTTCGTTTCAGTATTACGGTATTAATATAAAAGTATACAGATTTTTGCTAATTGATCCATAGTCAGCTAGCTGTCTGTCAGTGTATGAAAATGGCAACAAATTGCTGAAAGTAACCAAATGTGTGTGGAACTGGGACAAGTGTGCTCTTTCACGAGCAAGACTCATCTCACAACTTTACTTCTCGGAAAAAAATAACTCAGAAGTAGTTCGACCCCCAGTTTCCTGTGAGTTTCAAACAACCAGGTTTTTTTTTTTTTTTGGTATTTTGTTCTCTCATTCCCCCATTTGAAATACTCGGCTTCTTAAGAAAAACTTGCTTTTAAAATTCAACGAGAAACACCACATTTCACTTAATTTTGCTCCCATCACCATATTTGTGTCTTACATTATGGTGAAGGCAGGGATGCTGCTGAAATACCAGAGTTTCTCAACGTTTTTTTTTTCCCTTAAAGCATCCCTTAAAATGTCAAAGGGCTACATTTTTAATCAAAGAGCTACAAAGACCAGCATGCACAACCAGAGTTCAAATCTTCCATATTGCTATTATAGATTAGACTCAGTAGATCTAACTCCTTTTAAAATGAATAAAATATATATCTGAAGTACAGTTGGTGCCAAACGTTTGGCATCTTCTAATTTAGGATGCTGGCAAATCGCACCTCATGCAGCACGGTGTTCACTTTTCTCAAAACTGAGACCGATTTCTCCACAGTCGCTCACATTTCTTAGTCTCTAAAGTTCAGTCATCAAATCTTAGAGCTAAAACTTGACTGGGGAGTTTTCGTTAAACTTGGACTGAGCTTAAGAACATTACCATAATGAAGATGTCCAAAAAATTGATTAAATAAAATGCATGGAGAGTGTTCTGTGGATCTGATTTTAATTCATTTATGACATGCTTCTACACTGATTTGCATGCATCCGTGTTATTTGAAATTTAGGGAGATTTTGCACTCTTGGTTTAAATGCAAATTTTAAATGTATGTGTGTTGTATATTCAGATTAATGCAACGTTTTGCATTTGAAAACTTATAAAAGATGAAAGCAAACTTATCCAATTAGTCATATCTGTTAAGATTTCAGTGTTGGGTCAGGCGTAGTAGGCGTTCATAATTTAAAATCGAAAGTTTAAAAATTTTGCTTGCAGTGATGCATAAATTCTACTAATATATTAAATGCCCATGAATCAGACAGCTTGTTTTTGTTCTGATTTAATCAGCTAATTATTTTTTGCCCATCTTTGCACAAGTTTGTTACTGTTTAATTGACACTTTTTAAAATGTTTCAGCATGTTTTTTCTTGTTCACCAATGACAAATTAAAGAAAATACCATCACACAGGTAAATTTGGTATTTGGATCATAGAATTGAACACGTGCAGGTAAATAACAAGCTGCGGCATCTTTTTTTTGCAACCTAAGGCTAAATGCACTCTCGGAGGAAACACGAGTGACTTTTTTTCCCCAGTCAGCGTCTGGTAAATATCTCCAAAGAAAACTTTTCTTTCAGCTGTTTAGCCTTTGAAAGTCTTAAATTAAACATGTCTGTGCGATGTGTAGAATCATCTTTGAGGGACTTGGGAGAAAAGTATAGGAGTGTAATGCAGCATAGCTTGGAGGCTGCTGAGCTCTCGCTTCAAGACGAAGGCCCTAACTTAAGCCGACGTGTGCAAGCGCTCAGATGTTGTGGCATCATACACGGGCATGCATTAACGTGCGTCTGAGTGCTCGGTGCAAGGCCACTTCTGGCAGAAGATGTTAGGGATGCAACCTTGGCAGTAGTCTGATCATACACAACCAGTGCTGACCTGCTGTGTTTGGAGATTTAAAGGTTTAAAAACACATTAATATTAAATTTAGCTGTTCAGTTTAAAAATGTAGAAAATATTGAAGAAATATGTATATATTTTTACTAATTCTTAGATCCAAAGATGTTAAAATTTGAAACTCTTGCAGTAATGAGCAAATTCTTGTGTTATTTATGTAACATGAAACACTGAAATTCTGTAAAACAAATTTTACGTCCGTATTATTCACTGGTATTAACTCCGCGATATAATTCATGGAACAGTTTTGACTTGTTACACATGATATGATTAGATATTCTCATGTGTGTTCCTACAGAGCTTCTGCTGAGGAGATGTTTCTTCAACTGAGTGATTAGCTGTTCCCATATATGAAGTATGAAGTCAGGCATGTCAGAAGTGTGCCCGGGGGGTCATTAGTGGCCCTCAAGACTGGTTTTATGCAGCCTCCAATTTATTTAGTAGGTTGATGGTGATTAGGGCTGCACAATATATTGAAAAATTTTCGTCGTTGGGATAATAGGACGTGCGATAGGCCCATCGCAAAGCACATCAAAAACGGCGATAAATGTTTGGTTCAACATTTCCATCCGTGTCATACATCAACTTTTTGTAAACCAGCTCTGTTTTTTTACACAGAAGTATTATTTGACCAATCAAATGTAGCCCTTCTGATATGCGGCCAATCAGATAGGTCCATTCACGTAATACGCCCGCCCCCTACTTAGACCCTTAGGATGGAAAGTAACACCCGATCAGTTAGCGGCGCCGTTCCCTTGTTCGTCATGCTGGCTCAGAGCAGCGAATGCACTTTGAGCTGATGTTTCTGGATTCAGCGCTGCTTTCAAACGTGAACGTGACTGCTTGGTGTCAATCATTTTTACCGGGCTGACTCCGACACGTGCCGGCGAACCAACCCACCTTCATGTCGCTAGTGTTCCACCGGGTGGTGACATTAGCCCCAGGCTTCGGTTAGCTTCCAGCTAAAAGGCTACAGCACTCTTCTCCCAGTCCCACCCTGCTAAAGAGGGCCTGGAAAAGTTCCCCCACACATCAAAGTGATTTTTCAATTATGAGCTTTTATAACCTTGTTAATCAGGATAGTTGATTTGCTGCTGACAGCAATGAGAGAATTTGCTGTTGCATTTAAGTGATGTTAACTATTATTTAACATTTAAACTTATTTTCTGATTTATTTATTTATTCAAAAGAAAACCTGTAAGGGAGTTTTTCTGTATTTGGAGCATCAGAAAAAGTTTTATGGTGGTGGTGATGTTTTAAAGTCACTGAGAAACTGCATGCATGCAGTTTGTTGTTTTGCTGCTAATACAGTAGCAGGTGCAGCTGCATATTTTTGCAATAAAATTGTTATGTTGTAATGGAATTCATGCGTTAGTTTTTGTTTGCTTTGAACCCAGAGCAGACGCCACACGCCAGACGACATCAACACTGCATACTTTAGTATTTGTTCATTTATCGCAAGTAATATCGATATCGCAGTATTAAGCACTGTTATGGAATATCGCAGGCTTTCCTAATATCGTGCAGCCGTAATGGTGATTTTTTTTTCTCCAGTGGGCATTTCATGTAAATTGATAATTTCTTAAATTTTTATGTTATGATTTGTACTAATATGCATACTTTGGACTCATTTTGAGGAGTATATGAATACTCTTCTCGATGACAATCGCGCACCTCTAGCCAACCAACAGGGAGCTAAATATTGTTAATTCCAGTGAGAGAATGCAATGCCGATTGTAGTTTTTAGCCAAAATATATCGTACTTCTTTTTCATTTTTGTTCTTTCACATAGGTTTTGGAAAGTGGTTAGCAGTTTTATTATTAAATTCATGTTTTTTGCTGCCTAAATCTTTTTGAATGTAGTAACATAACCATACTTTAAGTCGTATATCCAGCCAATCATCTAGTGTGACGTCATCGATAGGCACAGGACCCCGAGCCAGCCAGAAGGAAACATGGCGTCTAAAAGGGCATCCCCCAAAGATGTAGACCTGCACTCTATGTACTTTAGACCCGATTTATATGGTTTAAAGTTACAAAGCCACCAATATTTCTTCAATGACTGGATGTTATTTTTATTTATTTTCAATGACATTTTGATGGATATTTCCAGAGAATAAAAGTAAAAACTACACATTGTCACACTAAAGAATTATTTGTCCACGAGAAAAGTTGCCAACTCTAGATCAGTCTAGGTACGTCCTCAAACTCTCTGGCTCGGTCTGTGATTGACATTTGTGCATAAGCGGATGTGTAACGCTATTGGCTAATGCTGGACAGCAGTCAACCCATATTGCATGGGGTTGTACGGGACGGGCTTTGCATAAAATAGGCATGTTGCTTACATTGTATCACAGTACAGGGGGTCAGACACATTTTACAGATTTCTAAAAATTCATACATAAATCCTAAAAGAAGGGAAACACTGGATTTTAGCTTTAGGTCATACATTTGAGATGACTGTTAAAATGTGGATTTTTTTTCCAGGGTTTCCCTTACATAGGCGTAGCCGTGGCGGCCCGCCACGGCTGAAATCCCACCGCCACGCCTACAACATCCCAAGTTTTATTGATGTTTTTTTTTTTTTTTTTTTTTTTTTTGGCGCCGTTTCCCAAAGAAGCAGCAGGAACTACTGTGTTGTTGCTTGTGATCACAGCCGGCAGGTAGCAAGGAGGAGGAGGCACGGCAGGGTGGCTACAGCTATGAGCGTACGGATAAAGCATTTTTGACGAATACGAGCATGAAACGAGTGTAAAACTCGGAAATATCTGTAATCGTGCTGAATGAAATTCTCATTGGGTAACTGACTGTCTTCAAGCTCTGTGATTGGCCAGTCAGATAGAGCGCCCGCCCCTCCCTACACGCAAAACTGCAGCCGGGAGCTCCATCAGCTCGGCCCGGGCATCAACGCACACACACACAGACAGTAAGCCGGGCGTGCACTGTGCGACTTTTTCACTTTTTTGAGCCGATTTTCCACTCGTGCGAGAATCCACAAGATCGGGGCGAGTTTTGCGCTGAGCGTCGTGTAGTGTACGGGGGGTTACGAGAGGCGATTAACACCACGTGACCAGCTACCGATTAGCAATCGTGAGCTGCACGGACTTCTGGAGTGTTTAATATTTATCTCGTTCCTCATGAGGGTTGAAGCGGCGCAGCGAGCAGCTGCGACCCAAAAAGTATCAGAACCGCTCACGGCGTATTCGCAATCCTGCATCAACTCCGCTCGCCCGCTATTTCCCTAATAACACACGCTGTTCGTTTTTGTTTCTACACGTTTTTTTTACTCACAAAGATTGTCAAAAAGCGTGTTTGTCGTGTTCATGTCAAATTAAACTGATCACAAAACACAGATTTACTTTCTTTATTTCGTTTCCTCATCCAACCCCCATAAATCCCTGTGTGTCCTCCTGCAGCACTCCCGAAGGACAACAGGCAAAAACAAGACAAAAAAGTCTGACGTGTTGTGTTAAAAACTGCTATTTTTGGCATATTTTAGGTCCGACGTGTTGCTACCAGACGTACAGTGAGCACATGACTCGTGAGATCTACCCTGCGCTGAAGTCGTACAGTTTGAGCTGAAGCTGAGTGCTACGAGTGAAAAAGTCGCACAGTGTCCGCCCAGCTTATTATAATGTTCACTGTAATGCATCTTGATGTTCTTAACAAATAAATCAAATCAAAAATATTGGTCAATAATGCCAAATATGTAAATTTGTGTTTCAGTCATTTTTATACTGGCTTAAAAATACTTCATTAAGTCTACTAAGCAGGGGTGTTGAACGTGTTTAACAGGGCCAGCACAGTAATGATCTTGGACCAAAATAAAGGGGGCAGAAAGTCAAATAAAGGGGGCAAAAGAAGATGTTTTTCCAGACGCCAAGAAAAATTAAATGCCAAATCCACCCTGCAAAGTGTGTCACTGAGAGTTTAAAACAGAAAGTATTATTGTGCAAATACTGGTGTACTCACCTTTAATACTAGTTATTACAATGTAGCAGTTGCTGGATTGGTGCAGTTCAAAGTGGAGTGCATCAAATAAAACAATATTAACATAAAGGTGAGACGTGTCATACCCCCCCCCACCCCCCCGCCAACACCACCACAGCTGGAAAAATTCCTAGGGGAAACACTGTTTTCTGACCGATTTTGCTAATCAACATGACTTTGACATTTCTAAATGTTCATCATGCACACATGGCACATTTTTCCATGTTTTAGGACAAAGATTGGCCTGAAAGAGTTTAGAGAACAGTGCTGAAAGAGTTTAGAGAACAGTGCGACAGCTAATACGTGATAATTTTCTTCATCCACTAGTTTTAATCTTGATCTTGGTTTCTACAAACCAATTCATACTTTAGTTTTGGCAGGTGACTGAACTCAAAGATGCCTTTGATGGATTCTTGATTGTGAATGTTGCTTTTACTGTATTGTTCAAACTTGACCTAAAATTAGGGATGGACAATATATCAGCATCAATATCGGTATTGGCCGATGTTGTCATTTTTTAACATATCGGTTCGATAAATAAAACTAGGCTGATATTAACAACCGATATATTTTCCATCTAATCTCCATTTGTTTGCTTGTTCCAGAGGGTGAGGGAGGTGATGTGTATTTGTTTAGTCATGTGAACAGTGAATGAAATAATCTCAGAGGCATAAATGTGTGTGGTGTGTGTACATAATAACATAAATTCAGCTTTAACAAATTTCATTCTATAGAAAAATCTGCTGATTTTAGAAGCAATAATGTCAGTATATCGGTATCGGCAAATATCGGTTATCGGCCATAGAAGTGATCTCAATATCGGTTATCGGTATCTGTCCAAAAATTTCATATCGGTGCATCTTTACCTAAAATAGTTGTAGTTAGTGGCAAAAATGATTAACAATGGTTTCTTACATTTAAATGAAAAACGCAGTAATAAATTACTAAATAGTTCTTGATTGTTTTAACACATAAATGTGTTGCCTTATAGCTGCTATGTTATCGTATAATAATAGAGTGAGAAGAGAAGGCATAATTATTAAGACTGATTTCTCTTTTGTTAGTGATTATTAAACCAGGCCTTGTTGAGGCCTTTGTTTTGAACTCTCATTTCCTCATAGCTACTGTTTTAAGAGGCCAGGGAATTCAAAACGACATTCCTCTAATTCTGTTCCTGCCGTTTTTCTTTTACGCTCTCACGTGACTTCAAGACAATAATTTTGCCTGATTAAAAAAAAAAGAGCCATGTCCTGTTTCTGACATGCAATTGTTTGGTCGCTACTTAATCGGAGACCCGAGGCTCTGTATTGTGTTCAGGGTTAAATTTGACCATAATGGCCTGTTTTTTAAACAGTTTATGGTTTTTATAATCAAACCAGAAGGTTTGACGTAAGCGCGTCCATTGGTAAATGCCATGGTTGCAGCCGTCTCTACAGAAAGCTCCATGACTTAGTATTCCAGCCTTTTTGCCAGCAGAGTGCACGGTGCAGCAGTACAGTGAGGTGATGGGTGGTGGCAGATCAAGTATCTCTCTCTGAATCGTAGAGCTGATTCCCTCTCATGACCAGACAGAGTATGTTTAGATTAATAATTAATTTGTTCATCTTTTATAGTTCCATTGAGTTGGTGTGTGTTTTTAAGCTAGTGCAAGCACATATTCTCATTTTGAGCACAACAGCCTGCGCCTCAGCTGTTCGGATTTGCATGAAAGAGCGATTCAAATGTTCAGTAAAACGAATATGGTGTTTCTGAGGCAGAAGTGGACTGAAATGTGGAAGTGTAAACACACCAACAGCCTCTCCAAACACGCTGGCTTACCAAATGTGGAGCATGTTTAATGATTTAAGTTATGGTGGTCATATGAAACGGTTCAAACATTTATTTCCTACAAAATAAGAGAAGAAAATTCTGCATCAACAAAAGCAGGCGATATTTTAGTTTTAGTCAGACAGATAAGTGAAGTTGGAATAAATCTTTTATCAGTGAGTTTGTGTATTCCATTACATAATGAATGGATTCGCCAGGTGCTGAAATCCCCAACCTTTTAGGGGCTTTTTCTCAACCTGCAGGCATTTTCTATCCCGCCTGTCTCCTTTTGTGCTCCCTGGAAATGTGCATGCCAAAGATAAGTGCTATAAGGCTGCAAAAAGCTATTTTATAGAAAATGCTGTTTCCATATTTCATACAAAAGGTATTTTTGATGTACAGGCAGAAAATATGTTGTGACAGCCTTGTGATAGTCATGTTCTCTTTTACCTTGCCTCACCTCTTACTGCTCACACACAAACTTTATTTTTCTTTCACATACCCTATAAAGCCGGTTTCTTATCTCTAACTGTGTCTCGTCTTCCCCTCACCGTCTCGTTCTGCAGGTGGTACGGCTGTGCCAAAACCCCAAACTGGCTCTGAAGAACAGCCCCCCTTATATCCTTGACTTGCTGCCTGACACCTACCAGCACCTGCGCACCATCTTATCTCGCTACGAGGGCAAAATGGAGACTCTGGGGGAGAATGAGTACTTCCGGGTCTTCATGGAAAACCTGACTAAGAAGACCAAGCAGACCATCACCTTGTTCAAAGAAGGCAAGGAGCGCATGTATGAGGAGAACTCCCAGCCCAGGTTGGTAAAGTGTAGATATGTTTCTTCTATCGACCCATGCTAAATGTTCAGACACCACATGAACAATGACACCAGTCCCCACCCCCCCAGGGTAGTTGTAGCTCAAGATGTATGAAAACGGGAGCAGAGATGTGTTGTGGTTTGATCATGTGAGAATGTGTGGTGAGAGTGCAGCTCATTCGACAGCTGCCCGTCACTTTGGTTTTTTTTTGTACCTCTTTATCTCTGCCATCTACTTGATGTTGTGTAGCTGCTACATTTGCTAGCTCTTTGATACATCCAGTAATCGTTCTCTGCCTTTTGGGGAAACACGACAATTACTTCTTATTGTTGAAGAAGCCATCTTTATTTACTTTTTCAAAGTTAGTGGGTGTTGAAACAGGGAGACAGAACAGCCGAAGTAGCTACAAAAACTACCTAATTGTACCACGACTAATGACCTGAGGTGGACTTTCTAAGAGTCTGAGCAGCTTCTTCGTTTAAAAACTGTATAAACTTTACAATGCGAGTTTGCAGCAGATTTTCCTAAAGAAGGTAACCAATTGTGGTTTCTGTGTTTTTTCTTAAAGAGTGTCAATGTCCTCATGTGAACACGACAAACAATAATAATTGTAAAAAGGGCTTCAAAACACAATAAACTTAAAATAATAAGCAAACATGACCTAAAACTGATTAGAAATCATTTACTTTCTCTAAATTTCTACATCTGTCCTTCTGGCTTGAATGGGTCCGTTTTGATTGCTTCCCAAACTTACATGAACACTCTGTGACTTAGTTTTTTTAATTAGAAGAAAATAGCATAGTCCGATCTACGTGGTCAGAGATGCATTGTCATCTTGTTACTTCCTAAGTGACTATTCCTCATATGTCACGACCATGATCTTGCAAACAGAAGAAATGTTAAAAAGGACAAGAACAAACTTATAGTTCAGCTCCTCGTTTTTCCTCACAAGGGGGTGGTTGTTTTTAGTTGAAACAAATTATTAGTGTCGAACTTGAACAGCACTTGGTTTTAGCTAGAAGCTGCACATAAATTTCTGTTTAAGCCGACAAAACATGTACACACACACACACACACACACACACACACACACACACACACATTGCTCACAAAGACTGTTATTGTCTGAGTGAAGAAGGCTGTGGCTGTGACTCTGACCAATAGGAGTCAGCCCACTTAAGTATGTTATAGAATTAACCAATGATGTTGAGAAGCCATAGAGACTGGTGTGTGGTTAGTCTGAAGCAGAGATTACACATGACTGAGACTAAATAGTTCAGCTGCGAGGATAAGGATAATCCCAGTTCTAAGATGCAGAAAGAATGCTTGAGTCGTTTTTCACTTCAGCTTTGGCTAAACTAGGAAATTAGTCAGAATTTTTTGGGGGTTTGGTGCTTGAGGGTTAATGACCTAAATAACAAATCAGTCCCACTGTAGGGACATGGTCTTATGATAATCCATCATGAATATTGATGGGCAGCATGTCAGATTTCAAGAATCTATTCAATTTTGATTGTGAAGATTTAGAATCTTTCTATGACGATTCAATCTAATATGTTTTAATTCAATAGCAGTTTGGGTCAGCGATTTCAGTTTTTTCCACATTTTTAAATCATTTTCTTGAGTCAGAATGAGCTAAAATGACCCTTTAAGGGGTTAATGAAAGCCACCCAGCCCCCATGGCAGAATATTCCACTTGCAACTTCAGACTGGCAGCCACTCTGTTGGGACTTAAAAATGGAGCTGCATGTTTTAGGTCATGAACACAGCTGATTTATTTAATTTGGTGATTAATCACTCTTGTAGATACACCAAGGACAAGATTAAGGTGTTAAAAATACGAACACAAATCGAGGAGAAAGATTTTGGTTCTACAAACGGACACTGGGGGTTACTAAAAGCAATCCAAAACTGCCTAGTTCCTCTTTAAAACCCTTTTGTTTTCATCCATCACCTTAATCACATGACTGTGTAGTTGTGCAATATAGAAATTCTGACATTCAATGACAAATGAATGAAATGTTGGTTGGTAGTTAAATATAGCTGTGGTTTTTGGTTGCTTATAGGGCTGGGCGATATGACCAAAAATAAATATCACGGTATATTGAGGTTTTCACCTCTAATGACAAACGGACGGTACCTACTTGTATGTGCAGAAACAAAAGCTGTCACTTGTATTACGTTGATTCATGTTGTCACGTGACTTGAGGTGGTACAGCTTAAAGGGAAATGAATGTCGCAAATCTGCACACATTTGTATGTTTAATACAAATTCTATTTTATTTTAATTAAGAATAGTAATACATACCTTCTTAGCCAGTGTAAATGTAAATGGAAGGCCAATTGCTAGCTTAAAATTAATAGTCATTTTTACTGTGTGCAAATAGGGAATCGATCTTTGGATGTGCGGATCAATTTTCAGAAAGTTTTTATGGAAATCCATTCAGAATCAGAAAATTGATTTTTTTTTAACATGGTACTAATGATGAAGCACTAAAATGTGTTAATGATAAACAGAGATCTAAGTGTCTCCCACACACAGGCCTAAATTATATATTTTTTATCTTTTTTTAGATTTTTCCTGTGCCCAAATTTAAAAATCACGTTTACAAATAAATATGTGATTTTTATTGTAGCAAATGGTAAAATGTAATCCTCCATTGCCCATATCATGCTATATCAGGAGATTAGAAAGTTTATGTATGTACCTCAAACTTACGTTGCCAAGGTTAAAGTCGAGGTGTTTTTTTTTTCTTTGTTTGGTTTGTTTTTAAAGTCCAGGCCCAGTGAGCGTCTGTCTTAAGCAGCACTCCAGAAAATGTTAACTTTAGTTACAAAGTTTCAAAACTTTATGTTTTGTAAAGAAAGGAGAAAGGGAAGACTGCACTGTTGGCTAAAGGGGAGCCTACTGTGTGCCAAGTCTTAATTATTAACACTGACATCCCATATTCAGTCAGAATCAACATAACACAGTCAGCACTTCCTCCTTGTCTGCTCCACTTACTTCCTCTTCTAACCTCCCGCAGCACAACTCAGACATTGCTGTCCTCAGCTGAGAAAAACCCCACATGTAGATGCTGGTTTTTACTGTTTGCTCTCTACTCCAGAGTAAAAACGTTCATTTTGTCTGGTATAAAGTTTAATTTATAAGGTGTTCTCATAATTAATATTTATGTTTGCAGTGGTAGGGTGTAGAGCTAAAACAAATCACCCATTTTAGGATTATTCTTTATGCTAAAGTCAACTTAATATCCAGCGCTTCTTTGTTATCTCAAGTCTTTGATCATCCTAAGCCATGCTGCTATTGCATCCTGACTATTACTCATAGATCCAGCTGGATACAGGAAGTGGTGGGCTTACGCGCTGCAGGATGATGCAGCTGCACAGCAGGACGGGCTACTCTGCAGAAAGCGATGGATGTCAAGGCTAAAACATAACCCAAATTTTTTTGCAGGCAAACAGGGTGCTAGAAAAGCTCCAGCATGCTGCTGTTTCATTAAACTACTCTAAGAAATTCTCAAATGCAGGTCCAGTAATAGAAGTGAAGTCAATAGTTTCAGTCATTTTATTAGGTGACCTTTTGTGAACTGGACAACAAAGGGAATTTAAAAACAATGGTGAGTTTCATTTTATTTGTTCTGTTTATGAAGGTTTCACGCCTCCACAGGGAAGACAAAAGTAGTGAGTCATTTCATCCAAAACCTCATGGCAGATTTAGCTATTTTTCTCAGACTTGCTCCAACACACACAAATGTTTTCTTCTCTAAAAAAGTGACTAATTTACTTTTTTAAATTAGAGTTTAAACTCCTCAAAAATCAACATTTACACAACAGTTAACTAGTTAGTGCATCTAACAACTAGGGATGTTAGAAAATATTGATATGGCAATGTATCATGATATTTTTTCCTGCGATATATCGATATTCAAAAGCCGTGTATTTTTGGAAGTATTTTCATGCATTTGTGTACTTTCTTTTCTTTTGGTGCAATTCAAATGCCGACCGCTAGTTGGCAGCAGTGTGCAATGGGTTTTGTTTCCACCATTGAAATGTAAATCTCTATTATGGTTCAGATACCTCATGTTAAACATGTAGCTTATGAGTTTGGACTGTTTATTGAATTTTCCTACAGTAAATTTAGTCTTAAAAAATTGCTAATATCTTATGGCTTAATGTATCACAATATATCGTTATATCGTATCGTCTCCCCTGTATCCTGAAGGCAATAAATCGAAAACTTCTCGTTATTGAAATTTCTGACTTTTATCGAGATAATTTTTCCCATCTCAATAAATTTGATAATAAAAAAAATTAAAAGATGTGTGTAGGTCGGCAACATTCATGTCCCTTTAAGAAGCTGTACCACCTTGAGTCACATAAAAATGTTGTAGGTTTAGAGGTGGCGAGTGCATGAAGAGGTGGTGGAGGATGAGGGTCAAATTTGTCCGTGTTAAAAAGTAGGGCTGAACGATTTAGGAAATCACCTGACCTGAATGGCTTTAAATTAGTCTCCGAGAACAAAGTAAGGTACCTTGTTGTTATCGTTGACCAGGACATTTCATTCAAATCCCAGGTTAAACAGGTTTGTAGGATTTTCTTTTTCCACCTTTGGAATATTGCTAAGATTAGAAGCATCCTTTCCAGGAGGGATGCTGAAAAACTAGTTAATGCATTTATTACATCAAGACTGGATTACTGTAATTCATTACTCTCAGGAAGTCCACAGAATGTAGTTAAAAGTCTTCAGCTTGTCCAAAATGCTGCAGCTAGAGTTCTGATGAGAATTAAAAAGAGAGATCATATCTCTCCTGTCTTAGCTTCCCTACATTGGCTACCTGTTAAATTCAGAATATATTTTAAGATCCTCCTTCTCACATATAAAGCTCTTAATCATCAAGCTCCATCATACATCAGTGATCTGATTGTTTCATACGTTCCTAACCGAGCACTTCGCTTTCAGACTGCCGGTTCCCAGAATATCTAAAAAATAGGATGTGAG